GTCCGTGCAGGGAGCAGGGCCTTTCCGACATCGTTCAATAGCCTTCTATAAGCACACCATGAAACCATCTTTCATGACCAAACAACCAACAGCACAGGAGAACTCTGAAGATTACTTTAGCATCTGTCAGGAAATATAATTCTAAGTAACTAGGAGCCTTTATTTATGTTCTAACTGCCACTCCTGCTGGATACAGTGGTCCATGCCTTTAATCCTAGTGCTTGGGCAGCAGAGCAGTTAGTTCTCTCTGGCCCTGCTCACTCCTTTCCAGTTCGTCAGGCCTATTCGAGCTTACAATGTGTTGCCAGGTCACGTGGTAACGGCTTGCTCCCCAATTTAAGTTTACAGAGGCGCATAGTTTAGTGGGGGAGTTGTTGAGGTCAAGAAACAAGAACAAAGAAAGCCCAGTTATCATTAGCTGACATATCTTTCTTGCTAGGATGGGTTGGTGATCAAAAGTGATTACTAATTCCTTGTACTCATTCCTGCCCTCTGCTTCCTGATATAAAAAACTGTTGATGAGGAGAGATGGTTAAGAGCACTGGCTGCTCTTCCAGAGGACCTAGGTTCAATTCCCAGGACCCACATAGCAGCTCACAACTGTCTATAACTCCAGTTCCGGGGGACCCGACACCCATGGCAAAACACCAATGCATATAAAGTTAAATAAAAAAAGAAATTAAAAAAAAAAGAACTGATGAATAGGCATGCACCCTGAGGATTGAAAGTAGAGCTGACTGTTTTTCATATATAAAAGTTTAGATTTGTGATCTTTTAAGGTTTTTTTATGATTACCTCTTAAATAATTAAGCAATTGATCCTTTCCTTGTAGCTGTAAAATGCAGCCTCAGGAAAAGAACTGGCAGAGAAAAAAATACCTTGCTTGCTTACACTCTGTTAATCCATACCAAGTTGCTTGGACATGAATATATGTGGGTTCTTGGAAATAATTTTTCACCTGTAATAGGTAAAATGTTTAATCATATAAGGCATAGGAAAACATGTTTTTTTTTTTACTTGTATTCATTGTAATCATTCACTTGAAAAATAGAATGCAATCACATTGTAATTTTTAAACTGCTTCAAAGATTTTTGCTAGGATATATAGGCTGTAAGGGAAAAATTAAGAACACACACAGAAGGGGTACATCTGGATAGAGGTAAGAAAAGAAATAAAGAGATGAGAGAGAGATGAGAAAGAAAGAGAGACCCTGAAAGTGAATGTGTGAGTGTGTGTGTGTGCGCGTGCGTGCGTGCGTGTGTGTGTGTGTGTGTGTGTGTGTGTGTGTGTGTGTGTTTTCCTTTTCGCAGTCCCCAGAGAATTAAGTTTCATTCCCTCAAATAGAAAAGTCAAATTGAGTGATTAGTTGGCAGACTCCGTGGCTCCCCCTCCATCCCTGAGCTGCTGAGCTGGTCCTCATGGCAGCACTCTGCTTTCACAGAATTGACTCTCGGGGTGGGAGAGCAGCAGCAAATGAGAGCATAAGCACTAGAGAGAGACCTAAGTCAGAAAACAACACTAAGTGTGGTTAGGGAAGGAGACTTCTGGGCAAAGACAGGCGATGAAGCTCTCTGGGGAAGACGGTTCCAGGCGGACAGGACAGAAGTTCCCAAGTGAGAACCCCCCATGCTCAAGCTCCAGCAGGAGGCCAGTTACTAAAGCAAGAGAGTGAGACCACAGCAAGACAAGCTGGCCAGATCATCTGGTGATGTCACGGAAACTGATCCTGCTTGAAGTTGAAGGCTGGCTTTGAGCAGAGGATACAAATCTGACTCTGGTTTCTGATCATAAGGCTGCTGCAGGAAGAACTGTGAGGGACAAGGACAGGAACAGAGACACAAAGCTCGGATCCAGGGGGACGTGGGAGAAGATGGGATCATGGAGCATGAAAAGAACTGGGCCAAGGATGACCTCAGAGCTTTTGGACTAAGGAACTAAGAAAACACAGGATATTGAGAGGAGGGCAGGACCACAGGAGCACATGCCCCAGGGAAGCAGGGCCCGAGTTCTATTTCACACGCGCTATCTGTTAGGTGTTGACATGGGTTTTTTTTTGTTGTTGTTGTTTGTTTGTTTTCAAGACAGGGTTTCTCTGTGTAGCTTAGGAACCTGTCCTGAAACTCACTCTATAGCCCAGGCTGGCCTTGAACTCAGAGATTCGCCTGCCTCTGACTCCCAAGTGCTGGGATTAAAGGCGTGCACCACCACCACCACCACCACCACCACCACCACCACCACCACCACCACCACCACCACCTGGCTTGACATGGCTTAATGTGCCCTCTAAAACACATTAAAATCTAGTTCCAGTGTGTGGTGATATATTGTGTAACCTAATAAACTTGCATGAAGATAAGAGGACAAAGCCAGAGCCAGCCACTAGATTAGACATGGAGGTCAGGCAGTGGTGGCACACACCTTTAACCCCAGCACTTGAGATCTCATGTCTTTGCTTGGGAAGCATATACGCCTTTAATCCCAGGATTATATAGCAGGGCAGAGAAAGGTATATAAGGTGTGAGGAAATAGGAACTCAACTCTCTTTAGGCTGAGGATTTCGTAAAGATAAGAACTAGTGGTTGGCTGTTCTGTCCTCTGATCCTCAGGCAAGTTTATCAGGGTACACAATATATCACCACACTAATGTAGCAGTATTAAGAGGTAAAGCCTTTTTTTTTTTTTTTTTTTTTTTTTTTGGTTTTTCGAGACAGGGTTTCTCTGCGTAGCTTTGTGCCTTTCCTGGAACTCACTTGGTAGCCCAGGCTGGCCTCGAACTCACAGAGATCCACCTGACTCTGCCTCCCAAGTGCTGGGATTAAAGGAGTGCGCCACCAACGCCTGGCTAAGAGGTAAAGCCTTTTAAAGGGGCTGAGGGCCATGATGTCTCTGGCCTCAGCAACAGACAGGCTATTACCTCTGGAGTAGGCTCCTGAAAAAGGTCGGCGTCCAGCTCCCACGGCCCTCCTGTTTAGCCCACCTCCCTTGTCCTTCCACTGGATCAGACCAGGGTAAGAAAGCCCTCTCACCAGACGCAGCTGCTCAGTGTTGGATTTCCAGCCTCCAAAAAGGGAGCCAACTAAACTTAGTTTATAATTTACCCAATCTGCGATATTTTGTTATAGCAGTAGAAAACGCCCGAAGACAGGTGTCCACAGACACTTGTCAGCTAAACAGTTATGCAGACATCTCTGGATATGGTGCTGGGGCCATGGTGAACATATAAACCTGGGAGTCATCAGCCAGTTGTTTTTAAAACACGAGGCTACATGAGATCCCCAGGGAGTGGATGAACCAGAACTAAGCCTTGCAACACTCCGATGCCTAGAACTGAGGAGATGGAGAAATTACTAAGACAGGCCAAAATGAGCAGCCAATAAAACAAAACAAAACAAAACACCCCTGGACACATGATATGAAGGCTGGAACTAAGAACTGCATCTAGCAAGGTGGCAGTCACTAGGGACCTTAGCAAGAACAAATTTGGAGAGACTGGACAAAAGCTAGATGGAATGGGTTCAAGAAAGAATTGGATGAGAGAGAGTAGAGCTAGTGAACACAGCCAGATCTCTCGAGGTCATCCACCATGCCCTGGATAGTGAGATCTCAAGCTAATCAAGAGACAATGCTCTCAAGCCTCACATACACTCTGTGAAACAGGCAATATTTATGGCCATTTTCAGGTAAGACAACTGAAGCTTGGTGTGCTGGCTAGTTTAAGTCAACCCACACAAGCTACAGTCATCTGAAAGGAGGGACCCTCGATAAAGGAAATGGCGCTAAGAGATCAGGCTGCAGGCAAGCCTGTGGAGCATTCTCTTAATTAGTGATTGAAGGGGGAGGGCCCAGCCCATTGTGGGTGGTGCTGTCCCTGGACTGGTGGTCCTGGGTTCTATAAGAAAGCAGGCTGAGCAACCACAGGGAGCAAGCCAGTAACGGGGCCTCCTCCATGGCCTCTGCATCAGCTCCTGCTTCCAGGTTCCTGCCCTGCTTGAGTTCCTGCCCTCACTGCTTCTGATGATGAACTGTTCTATGGAACTGTGATGGAATAAACCCTTTCCTCCCCAAGTTGCTTTTGGTCACTGTATTTCATCACAGCAATAGAAACCCTACTAATACACTCAGAGAGGTTGAATAACTAGACCAAGGTCAGAATTGGAGTGACCAAGCCAGAAATCCAAGCCAGATGTGTCTACACCCAGTCTAAGACTAGTATCTCTTGTGTGGAGCCCCCCCAACTTTGCAGGGGTGGTCTGAACCTCCATCTCTTCCAAGGGTAGAAGAGTTCTTTTCAAGGACCTGTAACCTCTACCGCAGGTATCTGTGGGAACATCAAAGCGGACTCTGATTTCCCCAGCCGAAAGCCCTGTGAACTTGTCACTGTCTAAGTGAAGTCACTACGGCACTGACCTGAGTTGGGAAGCACTGATCCTTTGCCGTTCTTCACGTCCACCACCCAGGTGGCTTCTTTGCCTCCAGGGCCATCCTTCACTTTGAAGGCAAAAATACCACCGATTTTCTTCACGAACTGTTCCCCTTCCTGGAAACAGAAGGAACACAGGGAGTTAGTTACCTTGTGTCTCCTCCTCTGGCTTTAAGTAAGTGTTTTAACAGGTACATGTGAGCAGCAGGGATGGCAGAGTCCCTAGACTCAAGCAGGATCTCTACTCAGAAGTCAGAAAGAAAGCAGGGCAACAATTCTCCCATCTGTCAACTCTGAGAAACAGCTGTGGATGGGAACACGGGGCCAAAGGCATGGATGGCAGCGTCTTCTGGTGAAAGAGCCTGTTTGCCCCAGTGGTTTGAGAGTCATTCTGGCCCGCCTCAATGTGGGCACACGGGCCTTTGATCCAAAGTCAGTTCCTTAACTCCTGATTTTGGTTCCCTACAATCAAAACTTAAAGTGATTCTAAAACCAAATTTTTTTTAAAAGTTCAATTCCTGCTTAGTAGAAGGAACTACGTAAATAATATTCAATTTGCCTCTTAATTTTGGATCTCAGCAATGCAGTGGCCTAATAGAGAAGATGTCCCAGCAATCTTGTGAGGACAGACCTAATACAGAAGATGTCCCAGCAATCTCGTGAGGACAGACCTAATACAGAAGATGTCCCAGTGATCTCTGGAGGACAGACCTAATACAGAACACGTCCCAGCGATCTCTGGAGGACAGACCTAATACAGCAGATGTCCCAGCAATCTCGTGAGGACAGACCTAATACAGAAGATGTCCCAGCGATCTCTGGAGGACAGACCTAATACAGAAGATGTCCCAGCAATCTCTGGAGGACAGACCTAATACAGAAGACGTCCCAGCGATCTCTGGAGGACAGACCTAATACAGAAGATTTCCCAGCGATCTCTGGAGGACAGATTCCCCTTTTCCTTTCCTTCCTCTTCACATCCCACTTTGTTCCCACTCCACTTTCTTCACCTTCTTCAAACATAAATGGCCCCAGACTCTGTTGCAGGCACCCAGACTGCAGCGGCGAGGGGGTCGGAACACAGGCTGGCAGCATTCTGCACTGCAGACAAAGCCATCCAATACAAGGGAGCAGAGGGGCACAGTTGGCAGGGTGGGCAATGAGAGAGAACAGCGGCACACGCATGCCACTCTAAAGAGAAGCAGGGGCTGGCCAGAAGGCTCAGTGCTTGCCTGGTGCCCCAGCTTAATCCCCAGAAGCTGCTATGAAGTTGAAGAAGAGAGCAGGTCCCACAGGTTGTCCTCTGACTCCACAGGGGTGTGGGCACACGCTCCTCCCCCACAGCGTGCACACAGATCCTCTGACTCCTCAGGGGTGTGGGCACACGCTCCTCCCCCACAGCGTGCACACAGATCCTCTGACTCCTCAGGGGTGTGGGCACACATTCCTCCCCCACAGCATGCACACAGATCCTCTGACTCCACAGGGGTCTCAGCACACGCTCCTCCCCCACACCGTGCACACAGATCCTCTGACTCCACAGGGGTCTCAGCACACGTTCCTCCCCCACATTAGGCACACAGATCCTCTGACTCCACAGGGGTGTCTCAGCACACGCTCCTCCCCCACAGCATGCACACAGATCCTCTGACTCCTCAGGGGTGTGGGCACACGCTCCTCCCCCACATTAGGCACACAGATCCTCTGACTCCACAGGGGTGTCTCAGCACACATTCCTCCCCCACA